GAATTTCATAATATTTCTCAAAAAAAAAAACAACCCACACACACACAAACCTGGCAGATTATCCAAACCATAAAATATAAACATGCCAGAAGTTTGCCCTGCCATATATGAGAGTTTTAGTCACTGCAGAAATAACACAATTGAATTATATTTAATCGTTCGCAGTCTGTGTATTTCATCCCACATAAACACATAGAAAATGAAACTAAAACAGAAGACCACAGACTAAGAGAGTTCATTAGAAACTTAAGGTCTGGCTTTTGGAGTAAATTCTCCCCAGACAGGCTGGTTGGTCGTGCAATTGTGGACAAAGCACTTCTTTTTGCCTCAACCTTTCCATCGCTAGCATGGAAACAAAAGCATTCACCTTTTTCTATTTCTAGGGAGGTTTTGAAGCCTCCAGATGACAAATGCTGGATAAGGTGACACATGATTTAATATGCTCGGCCACAACGTTGCTATGCAATGCCGGTAGCTACCTGATCCGCTGCAGAGCTATGCTATGAACATCGCCAATGCAGCCCCTCTGCCTAGCCAGCCGGCTTTTCAGGAAAACAAACCCCCATTTCATACTATTCTTGAAGGATTTGATGGTTCTTCTCACAGGTGAGTAAAACTACACCATCTGGACACAGCAATAGAAGAGACCACTGCCACCAGTGTTTACAAGAGCTAGAACTTTCTCTAACCAGTGATCTTTACAGCATGTATCAGAGTGCAGAACTGCATATCGCAGTCATGTGCTTATCTGGTGCCTATTTGTGACGACCTGAACAACACACTTGTGGGAGGCTTTACCAGGAATGAATAATCCCAGACTCCTGCTTAATCATCATATATTCTTTTTTCCTTTTTTTCTTTTTCCCTTTTTTTTTTTTTTAATTCTATCACTGCCTTCCTCTCTCTCTGACTATTCTCCATGACAACAGACAAAGAAAAGCAGTGAGAAAACACCTCAGTTCTGTTGAAGGATCTGCTGTTTCCCCATCCTATACGGGCCGCCGTTCATGTCTTCATTCCAAGGAAAGTAGCGCCCTATTTAGGACACGTGGAACTAACATATGGCCTCAGTGAATTAATAGGTCACACAGTCACACTAATTACTTTCCTTTAGAGCTACCCAAAGTGGTATATTAAGAAAACCAAATATGAATCAGCTCTCCTTGCACAAAAACTATGTAGTGGGGCAATGTCACATCTTTGCCATGATACTACAGTGGGGTCATTTCATCTTTAACCAACATAAAGTTGTACAACAAGAAGTGCAATACCAAGACAGGATGTGGCTTTCTGTAAACAACCAAGGAAGCAAGTATTTCCATTGACCTTATTGATGATCTAAAGCAAAATAACATGGTCTATGGCTCATCTGTCAAGAAAGGGTTAACACCCAAATTAAGTAAATTATCTGTTAGGGCCCGCTTTATATACAGACTGAGAAAAAAGCTGATTATCTAGTAAGAGCTCAGGGTAGCAAAAAGAATTTACAGATGTGCATTTATTATTCAGCAGCAATGACGATATCCTGCTGCGAGTTGACAGGGGTGACGAATCCCCACCTTTTCATGTTTTATGGGAGGAGTTGGGAAATTAATGGGGGAAGGAAGGGCATTTTCCCCAGCCAGCACTGCGTTTATTTTGCCTAGATAAAATCAGTGATAAATCTGTAATAAAATCATTGCTGAGTGAGATTTTGTGAATTAAGATACATTTCTGGTTTTCTTTCCCACTATTCCTGAAAGCTGAAGTAAATTTTCAACAAAGTAATCCTAAACCTGGAATTTAGCAACTTTTAAATGTTTTTAGTGCTGTTCAGAAGCTCAGCATCATCTTATAAAAAATATCTGTTTCGGTCTGCACAAGAGAAACCTCTAATCCCAGACTGCAGCAATGAAATCTAGTGTTACTAACAGAATTGTCTTCCCAAATTTTGTTGATTTATGAACAAACAAAAGCAACATCTTTCTTCTAAGCACCAGTGTTTGGAGTCAGATGGATATTTTATGAAATAAACACAGTTTTCAGTAAAACTGTTTTCATCTTAAACCAATAGAAAACCTATATTAAAATGAATCTACCACAAAATTCATAAAATGCTTCACCAACAAAGTTTGGATTCAGTTATCCACAAGAATACAACACATTAGCAAGTCCCCAGTGGCAAACCTTTCCTCAAGAAGTAAATTAAAGATTCCTCCTCTGAAAAAGGATATTAAGACCAGTGCAGAACAAAGAGAAACCTGTGGAAGGCAGACTTATTACCAGTAAAACCAATGGTACTGACCAGAGGTGTAACAGCAGTTTCAGATGTAAATGTACTATAATTGCCAGATATAGTCAGTGAAACAATCTGAAACTGAACCAGGCATCATGATTTTACTATGCTTCTGACAATGGTGGATGTTTCTCTATAAAGCTTAATTTTCTGATGGCAAATGATGTATTCCATTATCATGGGTTCAACTGAAAAAAAAACCCACAAAAAAAAAAATCAGATCTATTTCTAGCTCTTGTTGTTACCAGGGAAAATCTGAGAGCAAAAATCCTTAGAAAGCACTGAAATAAATGCAAAACATTACAGTTCTTCTTGACTTTAGGAGAGTTGTTGTGTTTGTACAAGGCTGGCGATACAGCGTACGTTTCAATCTTTTTTGTTAGGTTTTGGTTTACTCATCAGTTTACTGAGACCCGAGGGCCGAACAGGATGAGGTAGTGATCCTGCAGGACAATGCAGGCTTCAAGCTTGCTAACTCCTCCACTTGGCAAATACATCCATGAGCCAGTTGCAAAGGGAGCTGTACAACTGAGCATTGTTCACAGCCACTTTTGTGCCAGGCAGGCTCCACCGACAAGCAAAAAATGTATGAGAGAAGTGGCAACTTCGGTGAGAGACTTTTGACAGTTTAGAGGTCCTATTTTCCACAGAATCACAGTATGGTTGAGCTTGGAAGGGATCTCTGGAGGTCATCTAGTCCAAATCTTGCACTCAAGCAAGGATACCTACAGCTGGTTTTCCAGAACCATGTCCAAATGGCTTTTTAATATTTCTGCAGCCTCTCTGGGCAACCTGTGCCAGGGCCTGGTCACTCTCATAGAACTATGTGTTTCCTGATGTTCAGAGGAAACCTCCTGTGTTTCAGCTTGTGCCCATCGCCTCTGGTCCTGTCACTGGGCACCACTGTAAAAAGCCTGGCTCTGTCTTCTTTGCACCCTCCCTTCAGGTATTTACATGCATTAGTAAGATCCCCCTGAGCCTGTTCTCCAAGCTGAGCAGTCCCAGCTCACTCAGCCTTTTCTCATATATTAGATGCTCCAGTCCCTTCATCATCCTTGTGGCACTTCATTGGACTGTCTCCAGTATGTCCATGTCTCTCTTGTACTGAGGAGCCCAGGTGTGGCCTCACCAGCACTGAATAAAGGGGAAGGATAACCTCCCTTGACCTGCTGGCAATACTTTGACTAATGCAGCCAAGGATACCATTTGCCTTCTTTACAGCAAGGGCATGTTGCTGGCTCATGTTCAACTTGATGACCACCAAGACTCCCAGGTCATTTTCTGCAAAGCTGCTTTCCAGCTGGGTGGCCTCCAGCATATGCTGGTTTCCCCTGGCAGTGTCATTTTTCTCACATGGAATAACTGTAGGGGGTAGAAGTCAGAGGGCTGGACAAGCTTTGGCAGGCCCTCCACCACATCCTGGATCCTGGTTCCTGCCAGGCAGAAAACCTCTCCCGATGGCTAGTGGGGCCTACAAATGGCACCCACCTCTGTCCTCTGCAGAAGGAAGTCACCCATTGCAATGACCCACCATTTCTTCTTGGTAGCTTTTTTTTTTTTTTTTTTTTTACAGTTAGATCCTTTGCTAGTAGGCACATCTGTCTGGCTCCTCTTCAATTATGAGGGCGGTCAACCTATTTTGCAGCTGCAAATTCTTAGGTGGGGCAGGACCCTTCCTTTTGGTACTAAAGTCACCAACTTCCATCCTTCCTCTTCCTCAAAAGTTCTGCTTACTTTGATAGTGGGGGTAGACACTGCCTGCTTCTCCATTGAAGTTGAGGATTGAGGGTCTTCAAGCTGTTGTGTCTCAGAGAAGACCCTGTCTGTCTCCCTTTTACCTTCTCTGATGCTGCAGATCCTCCCACATCTCCTCCACTTGGAAGCACAGCTCCTCCAAGACTGTGAACCTCCTGCAAGGCAGAAAGCCATCTCTCCTGGCTTCAGAGAGCGGTCCCAGGCACTTCCTGCAGCCTGGGACTTGGAGGGCTACATCCACCATCTGAAGCTTAGCCTGTGTGGAAGCCTCTGCCCTAGCAGGGACAGTTGCTCCCACATCTATTGGGAAGACTGTCCTGTTACCATCATGCCTAAGCAGCACAATTTCAACTGAGGCCCCCTTACTTCCCTTACTTCACTCCTTCTCCACACCCTGATGCACAAACTGCTGGTCTGTTGGCTGTGCTCTGGGCCTGGCTCTTAGATAGGCCCCTCCTGAGCATCAGTTAAAGGATGCTTGACCCTTCCGAACAGAGGGACCTGTTTCAAAGGCTCCAGGCACCCTGGGTCAAGGGCAACTGATCACATTCATTAGAAGCTGCTAGAGCTTCGTCAGGCCCTCACCCTCGTGGCTCGCCTTACCTTGTGCTTGCCTAATGGCAAGGATTTGCAAATATGTATCATGGAGGCTACATGTTTCAAACTTCCTTTCCAAATGGGTGCCTCATCACTGGGAGCCAAATTCGGGTGGGCAGCATCCCTTCAGGAGCTGCCAGAAGCAGTCGAGGATCACCCCAGGGGATGCTTCTACCTACAGACTGAAGGGCTTGCAGCTGGCAAACTCCCCAGGAGAAAAAAAATGGGGAAAAATAGCTGTATGAGGCTGTTTTGGGGGAAAGAAAAAAAAATATTCTACAAGCAAAAGCAGGGGCACTGAGCTAATAATGAAGACCAGCCTTCATGTCTCATTAAGTTTGACTCACAATGCGTGAGGCTGAAAAGGCATCAAAGGCAGCTATGATCAATAGTTCACTTTCTACAGAGCTGTATTTTCCTTAAGCTTCTCAAGGTTTAGACAGATGTGTGGCTAAGAAAATCCTTTGCTAAGCTCATGTGTTCTAAGTTACTGCTTTCTCATCCATTGAAAGGTAGGACTTGGAAGTGGCATCAGGCCCATTCAATAGACTGAATTTCACCCTTAGAGCAGAACTGGGCAGCCTCATCACTTAGCCTGGCCCATGAGCAACATTTTGTTTAGTGATTGATGTTGTCTACAGTCTTCTATGATTACAAGGACGTGACCCCAACACAGGATTTCTTCAGCTGATCAGTAACTCTGATATAACTTCAATTATACTCACGACAGCATTGCCATCAGCTTCCATGAATAGTTTCAAAGCTCAGTGAGAAAGCTGTAAAAACAGAAAGTTTCATTTACTTAAGTTCTATATTATATTTTCATATAACATAAATCTTGACAGTAAAAATATGTGGTAATACGCTTTGACCTGCCAGGTTTACCCTTCCCACTCCACCCATCACCTCAAAGAAAGATTATTTCCAAAGATTATGCTATGTTATGTGACACGATTTTACTGATTTAGAAGTCAACCAGTGCTAAGGAACACTAATTCAAAGCTATCCAAGCTTTTCTATGAAATAAACAGAATAAAACTCAGGGATGTGGTCCAGGGGTTGCCTTTTGTTTGATTGAATTAGAGTTCTTTTTGGGGGCAGGGGTGTTAGGAAATGAATAGAGAATAAATAAATACAAGTGGAGGTGGGGGGTTTTGTTTGTTTTGATTTTTAGTCTAAAAGAAGTCTATAAGATTTTTGTTTATATTTGGCTGAACTATTCCCAGTGATTTCTAGGAATTCTAACTAGCGAATCTGCCCACTCTCCCAAGCAGGATGGGATCTCATAGTGGAGAACCCATTCTATAATGAATTGCATTTTTCTTTTTGGAGGGTAAAACCTGTGCAGTCCAACAGCAGATTCAAGGGTTTGTTTTCCAAAGAAACACAAAGCTAGCACTTATCCATTTAGGTGACAGTTCAGGTGACTTCATTTGGTATACACAACTAATAGTCAACTCCCTACATGATTTTCCTTTGGCTGGATGATGAAAGAAGCAGTGCAGTGTGCAAGAGGAAAGAAAACATACCAACTTTTTAGTGCCAGCAAAGTTCCTATAAACCTCACCCCTTTGTGCATGAAAGAATTATTCAGTGAAATGGGAGAGGATACAAGACTGTTGAAGTGAGCAAGAAAGGTTTTTCAGAAACAGAGCCACATTTCAGAAGAATTTCTAACATGAACTTTTTCCTGTTACTAAACCCAGTAATTTAAGATATGTGCCAATCCTCATACATAATATTTGTTTTAGTTTGAAAATAAAATCTTAAAACAGAAAATAAAAAACCACCTACTGGCTTCCGGCAATTTCAAACCAAAAATAGAAAGGCAAACAAATACATATTTTTACTGGCTCCCAACTGTTTCTGTTCAAAAATAGAAAGAAACAATTTCTATAAGTGGCTTGAATTGAAGTAATATCATAATGAGGAGAGATGTTATGGCAAATAATTTCAAGGATGTTTGGAAATCATAGCTAGTATAAACAAGCAGAGGAAACACCTTTAGTTATATAAGCAAGTTAACTTAGAGCCTCAAATACCGAGCCAGAAAGCAAGGGAATAACAGATTAAATTATAGTAATTATTGTGACATGTGGCCTTTTTCCTGGCATTTCTTCAGTTCGTGTGTGCTTTGGGTTTGGGGAGGGTGGGGTGTAATTACATGAACTGCACAGATTTGAATCAGCCACGGTACCAGGAGCAAGAGGAGAAGCGTTAGTTAACTGGCAAGGAAACGTTTCCGCCTGCATGCTTTGTGCCAAAGGAGTTGAAATGGTTCTCAGCAGAACTTTCTCAGTGACTTGAACTTAAACTTTTGTTTAGTTTCCAGACACTGGATAGGGCAATCTTTGAGCCAGCATCCAATTTTCAAAAGAAGCACTGACTTCTGTCTCATTCTACTTAATTGTTTAATTTATTATTCCCTGTGTAAAGAAAGGTATAAAAAAATAAAACCAAAAATCACATGTTCACTGCAGAAATAACTCTCATAGACATAGCCTGTGTTTATTTCTCCTAAGTAAACCCAACTTGAGTGAGACTAGTTACACTGTGAAATAGCATTAGGATTTTTATGTCCGCTCAAGTGTACTCAACTGTTGCAAAAACAGTATTTCAGAAAGGCATAACCTGTTTATCTTTGTGCTACAGTAAAATAAGTGTTTCCTTTTAATTTTCTGTAGGTGCATTGTGGGAAAACCATCTATACTTTCTAAACAGACAGATGAATTAGGAGAAGGGCCTGAATAAATATGGCCACTCAAGTAGAGCTGGTCTATACCCACCTTATTGATGGGCCATCTGCAGGGGCTGTCTCTGGGAACTATAGCCCCCCCACCCCTCAATATTCCCTTCCCGGATGCTGCAGTCAGTGTCCCTGGCTGAGGTGTGCCTGTCACGTGCCCTCTGTGTGACGGTAGGTGCATGCCCAGGGCTAGCAGTTTTGATGGCAGGAGAGCTTTCTAGCCCACAAAAGCTACACCTGAGCTCAGGAGCTTGGCAAACCAGAAAGAGGTTAGTAGGAGACAACACTTGAGTTCATACCCTCAGGAGGGTATCCCGATTCCTAACTGGAACAGCTGCAGCAGGAAAAAACTTGGCCCGGAACACTTCATTTCATACCACTTGGCGCTATATTACGAACTGGAGACATTCATGTGTATATCTTTGTCCTGACTTCAGTGGACATTGAATTTGAAGCGGGATCTCACCACCAAATGTGTACCCTAAGCACAAAGGTGAGGATGTGGGATTCCAGGCCTCTTCCTAAGCCTCTCCGTTTGTAACAAGATTAGCTCTAGAAACAGAAGGAGAGGGAAACCCTCCAGCCTACAGATTAAGGCACCCACGTGGAAAACGTGCACAAGGATTGCAGTCTGCTGCTATGGATGTTCAATTCACTAAAACTGCAAAGTGGAACAAACCAAAGAGAGAAAATAAAACAAGGCACTGTGAAACCTCTCCCACTTCAAATGACTTTATAAAGGAGAAACCAAACTTGAATGTCTCGCTTCCCAGAGGATCAAACATAATGGATCTACTGGATAAAAGCAAAGGTGATTAATTTACATTATCAGTTTGTAAACCATATTTATATTTCTTTGGCTTTTCCTAGAGGTGCGCAAAACACCTCATTTCATTTCAGTCTCAATTGAATACCATCGTCAAAAGTGGTTTCAGCTAAAAGATTTCTAATTCAAGTTTTTGAGGGTTTTTTGTTTTGTTTCAACAATTGAACTATAAGTATCAGTTTGCATAGCTTTATTAGCCCCACTTTACTCCTGCTCTTTCAAGAAGAGTAATAAACAAGAAGGTACATGAGTAACAGTTGATGCAACAAATGTGGAAACCTGCAAGTGACATCAGAAATATCTTGCAATCATTTCCATTTGCTGCATCATCTCTTCTGAAATAAATAGAAATATCTCTGTTAAAGATCAAAGGCAATGTTAAGGGTGGAAAAAAAGGAAAAGAACACTGAGGTTCAAATGATTCTAATCTCAAAACCCAACCTTAATTCATTAGTAATATTGCTCTTGTGGAAGTCAAAATCCACAAGGCCTGACACTGTCTTTTACCGGTTACAAGCTACAGTGAGTACGTCAATCTGCAACGGTACTGATATAAGCCTGCCAGACATGCCTTCCACGCACCCCTCAGATGACATCCAGAGTGGTCATATGCCTTCCTGCTTCTGAGAAAATATTTGAGCTATGTAACATGACTCAAACTATTCGTGTTGCAGAAGCACCCAAAATGTGCGTAGCTCAGTTCCTGTTCAGATGTCATTGACACAGACTACTCAAAAAAAAAAAAAAATCTCCTTTACCAAGCACCAATTCAGGGCTGTAAGGCAACCCAGAAAACAAGCTTTTTGCCTTCGTTCTGTTCACATTTCTCACACTGGACAACAGCTTTAACTTCTCTGCTTGCTTTCTGTTTATTTGGCTGCCTGCAACAATCTGCACTTCAATGGGCAATGAATTGACAGGAGATATGAAACCAGTGATAGTGCTGCAAAAATTTCCCTAAAAAAATCAATGATTACTTAATCACATGTCTCACTTACCAGGCATTAGGAATAGCGTAGCCCCAAATTATAGCAGCGCTTGAAGCACTGTCCTATGGCAAGGAGACAGCATTACATAATAGTCCTAAATTATCACACTACCTCTAACTGGGGTTCTTGAAACAATGCAGAGGAAAAATAATCACAGTGATTGGAAGCTCATAATTGTCCTTTGGGTTACTAGAGATCAATTTAATCTGACAGAACCTTGCCATTAACTACTAATTAATCAGATCCAGTCAGTTACTTAACTAGTTAATTAGCTATCTAAATTGACCATCTTGTACAAGGAGTTTCTTGATCTGCAGATTTTCTCTCATTTACTGGCTCTCCAGGAAAGTTGGATATTAAGCTGGTGCTTTGCAATGGGGCAATGACAAACAGATATTAAGGCACTTTTCACTGAAGTTCATGGACCATCCCACCCTGGTTAAGTTGGGTCCCACCCACCTTGTTCTCCATGACTTCGTGTTTCCAATTGCAAATGAAACTACAGATTCACCAATAGCATTGGAAACAACAAGGCCACTCAGGTATAATCATGAGTTATAAATGTCAGAGTATACCTTCAGCTTTAGCCACAATGGATAAATTTAAGCTTGTTAAATAAAAATTACCCTTTGAAAAACTAAAAGGGTTTTTATCACAGACCTAGCAACAAGGAACTGTGTTTGTCACATTGTAACACCTTTGGTAATAACCTTATTTTCAAGTGCATTTGAAATTATTCAATCCCCTCACCTGCAAGCAATTCAAAAAGACAACTTCTGACTCCGTTTGGGAGAGGGCCAAGAAAAACTGGAACAAAGTTCAACGCTCCTGTCTTGGTGACAGAAAGGGTCTGGAGACATCTCCCTGCTTGGATCACGGCCAGGTCCTGTCAGTCCAGCTGGGAAGCCCAACAGCGGCAGGTTACAGGCGTTGACAGATCTGAGCAAGCAGTTGCAGGACCCCACGCTCACTGCCTTCAGGAGGAGAGGGGCTGGAAAGAAAGAAGAGGTTCAACAGAAGAGAGGTGCACCAGCCGCCTCTATGGCCTCAGAGACAAAACTAAGAAATCAAAATGGCATGCTTAATGAAGCGTGTCTGCCCCAAACGCGAGGTTGCATGCAGACTCCTTATAGCGTTAAGCTGATTCCTAGTGCTGTTATGTTTGAAAGCCAAGGAAGAATTTGTAGA